GAGAAAAAGAGGAACACAACAAAACGAAGAAAACGAAAGAACAAAAACAAAAAAACAAAAACAAAAAAAAAGCGAGAAAGAAAAAGACGATCCGCGGTCACAGCGAACTGATGATTCTCACCGTCTTTGTGATGTCCATACAATAGCTGTACATTGTCGACAACGCTTCTTCTGTCCCTATTGTTGCTGCCATGAAGAGCAGCATCTGGGCAGATCCCAACCACCGGTTTCTTCTGCCATTGACAGTCCTTATAGTCTGTAATGAAATAATCGGAAACGAATAGTGTGTCCTGCAAAGATTCAGAGAAATCATCAGGAGGTCCCAAATCCTTTATTTGCCAGAACGCAACGGTATGTACGCACACAGCGGCACACACACACACACACAAAAAAAAAAAAAAACTCAATGGTACGTGCGCAAAGGTAATAATACTAATAACCGCAAACCTAGGCTACCAGCCGGGCAGCCCGGTTCACCTTGTTTGCCCGGGCCGTGCAAGGACCCCAAAAAAATCCAAAAAATCTGGAAAAAAAAACTATTAAAAGGGCCTTTTACGATTCAGGCCCGTAAATGTGACCCCACCATAAATGGGCCCTCTCGGCCAGAAATCAATTTCACAAGCAGCATTCCAAAAGACAAGTTCTCTGAGGCAAATGTCGCATCCAGTGTGAGATGAAAAGTCGTTTTGAATACTCACAGTCAGGTCCTACCTTCTTCCCCCGAATACAACGTACGGTCATTATGTCTGTATCTAGACTGAAAGATGCCTCGAATACAGCTATAATGACCGTACGTTGTATTCGGGGGAAGAAGGTAGACGAACAAGTACCGGACACAGACCTCAAGACTGAGATAGGGTCATGACTGTTCGGCGATAAGTCATGTCTGTTCAGCAACAAGTCAAAGGCCACAGTCCCAGTCCGGTCATAGCTTCACGGGTCAATCCGGATTCAGACCAGGAGTCCCAAAGACAGGCCCGAAGGCCCAAAGTAGCAGCAGACCATGGGAAAAGATACTGGGACACACACTTTGCAACAACAGGTACTGGGCAGAAGTCCCAAACACTTGGGGGCCGAATTCAGACCACGCCAGGCCAGCGCAGCGCTATAAAGGACTGGTCAGCCTCCTCATTGGGGCAGAGGCTCATTTCGCATGAGAGTGTGGAAGTGCCGTGAGTTGCGCTTTCTGGTGACCACTCATCTTTCATGGTACATCGTGTGAGTCAATGCAATCTGTGTGATATGTATTACATGCATCCTATCTGGTACACTCCAGCAAGTGGAATTTCAGTCGGGTTCCTTGCACTATGTTATGCAGAAAAATAAACTGAACAACTTTTGCCTCCGGGTCACATCGATTTTGTTTTACCCAATTTGGCAATTTAAAAATATTGTCATATATCGTCAAACACTAGGCTACCAGCCGGGCCTGGGTCTCGGGTGCCCAGGCCGTGCAAGGACCAGAGAAGGTCCCAGCAAAAAAAAAACAAAAAACAAAAAGAAAAGAAACAAACAAACAAAAAAAAAAAAAAAAAAAAAAAAAAAAAAATCCGAAAAAAAAACTATGTTATGCAGAAAAATAAACTGAACAACGTTTGCCTCAGGGTCACATCGAAATTCTTCACCAAATTTAGAATAAAAAATAAAATTTAAAAATAATTTCTTATTTTTATTTTTTTGGACCGGCCGGGCAAGTGACCCCGGGCCACTCTGGTAGCCTAGGTCAAACATAAATACATTTTTTATTTTTTATTTTTTGTTTTCTTTATGGGCCAGCCGGGCAAGTGATTCCGGGCCACGCTGATAGCCTAGCCACAAACCATATTTCTTTTTCCCCCCCAAAAAAAGGACATTTCGTCGATTGACGTAGCGAACAGACAAACATCTTGGGTCGGTGGGATGCCATTAAGCCATCAAGCCAACCACCCTGTCCAGGTTAACCACAGCTGCAGGTGCCAATTCACACCGCTCGTCAACACGATCTTTTCTTTTTCCGAATTTCAGTATCTTATCTAATAAGATCTTGCGCCTGATCCAGAACCTTTAAGAGCGCATTGGCACTGATCGCATATGCACCACCCCATACGAAGAGACAATGCCAGTGATAATTATAATATTTCAAAATTTTAGGATTCCTTGTCATAGGTAGATAGTGGGCCTTGCTCCACTACCCAACAGTCAGCATGCATTCGCGCGCTTTCTGGACCATGTGCATTGGGAGGAGTTCAACATTTTAAATTTATCGGGTCGAGAAAGTTGTCCAAGTGCATGTACAGTGTTGTGTCGTGGAGCGACGCCCAGTCGACACCGAGCCATCAACACGTGGCAAAGAGATCGACAACACGCAATGCTCATCCAATCATCTAACACTAAATGCACTTGCATACTTTTCTGGACCACGTGCATTCCGTAATTATCGCTGTATCTGGACTGACAGTTGTTCCAATACGTAATTCTGATCCAATCATCTAACAGTATGAGCAGAGGAGGAAAACACAAATGTGTGGAGTACATGATGTGCCGCCAATAAGGTGTAACTCAAAGCCTACCGTCTTCCGCCGAAAAGAACATAGGATAGTTATTGCTGTATCTAGACTGAAAGTTGCCCCAAATACAGGCATAATGACCATACATTCTATTTGGGGGAAGACAGTAGGGGGGCCTTCCACGTCATCATCACCGACGCTTGCAGCATTCTCCAACCTGTTGTAAAGTCTGGAATACCCCCGAATAGAACGTACGGTAATTATCGCTGTATCTGGACTGCAAGTTGCCCCAAATACAGGCACCTGTTGTTGAGTCTGGAAATACCCCACCATCTGGACATACAAATGCGACCAAGCCTGTAATAATTTTTTGAGCGTTTTCTATTCGGGGGGCAGAGGCTCAAATCTGACCCCTACCAATTTTAGGGTTTAGTTAAAAAAAAAAAAAAAAAGGTTTGCTTTAACTGAAGCTATTGTGTTATTCGCCTTAATGATGGCTTTCTTGATTTTATGGGCGACCGCAACACCACCAAATGAATTGCTCCTTTCGCACTGTTTGTTCTCTCAGGCTCGATAGCGAAGGAGGAGACACTACAGTAGTCCTCAGCTAGATGGACACCACTATTTCTCGATTTATGTGTGGCATCCTTGCGCAACGCCCATGCTAATCTTCTCTCTCCGTATCATTCCAATTTTACTGGATGTGCGGAAGGACCCAAGCCCGCAATAATATATATGCTTTCCAAAGTGAAAACAATGAGAGGAGGGGTTGAGGGAATAACAAAAACCAGACGGAGGGAGAGGAAATGTATGTACTATGTTCTTCTTTTTTTTTTCCAAATTTGATGCAATGAGAGGAGGAGCGGGTGGGGGAACAACAAAAACAAGATGGAGGGAGACGCACTATGTACTATGTTGTTGTTGTTTTTTTCCCCCAATTTGTTGCATGTCCTCCCCCCCCCCACCACCTGGCCCACCACCAATTTATTGCATATTTCTTGTGCAATTCCAAGGAAAATAAGCAACAGCGAGATGACAAATTCCAGATTACACCATCACATTGAAAGCCAGATAGTCACACTGTGTCCAGAGAGCAGCATTGCA